CTCGTCGCCGGCGATTGAACCAGACGTCCCGGATCTCGTTTGTCAGCTCGACAATGTTCAAGGAATGGTCGATGCGCTCTCTTGTGTCCGATGGAAACGTCACCAGGTTTTTCTCTTTCTCTCTATCCCCAGAAAACGAATCTAGGGTTCTTAAATTCATCGTTCTTAAATCGATTCGCAGGATGCTTTAATCGAGTTATCTGAACATGGAATAGTCTTAATCGTTGAGGAATCAGGTTGTCTTCAAGCCAAGGTTTATCTTCAACGCGAGGTTAATCGAATTTCTGAGTTTTTTTTTTTCATTTCCCGAAACATTTCCTTGAAATTCGTGTCACAATTTTGTGGAAGTTATTCACGAAATACGAGTATGGAGCTCAAGGGAGACCGAGATTTGGAATCAGCTTAGGTCTACTTGTTGATTGCTTGAACACATTCTCATCTCCTGGACATTCAAATACTATTGAAATCAAGTATCCAGGTCCTGATATGGAGCTTCTTCTCAAGTATGAACATTCAATCCTCTTATGCCTTTTTTGAAATCTGATGTTAGTTTCACTGATTCTGATCAGAACCAGTGATTTCAGTTGCTAATTAGCTGATGTGTGTGCTTTATTAGATCTGTTGATACCTTAAACTCGTGTATCTACTCTGAGATAAGAACGAGAATCCCAGAGACCGTCGCGTGGGACTATAACTTTGAGCAGGCAGGAAGCGCACCGCTTACTTTTACCGTAAAGGTAACACATAGTATAATAGTAAATGTATTGTTTGTTTTCGATTTCGATACATGTTTTTAGTCAAATGGTATTTGCTAATGTATCACAGTGAGAGCTTTTTATAGTAACGGTAAGATAGTCTATAGTACATATATCGGTTTTTTTTCAGTTTCGATACACGTTTTTTAGTCAGAGATTTTTCTCAAATGGCATTTGCTAATGTATCAGTCAGCGGCGTTGAAAGAAGCGATAGATGATCTTGAATGGCCTGGATCAAGTGTACAGATTAGCCTTCATAATTCTCCTCCTTGTGTTACCTTTAGAGGAGAAGGACACGGAGACTTACAGGTCTTATTTCTCATTTGTTTCTTGGTAAAATATAGTCTCTGTGTGAAAGAACCAAGTTAACACATTCGATATGTATCCTCTTTTGCAGATTGACTTCATGTATTATGCCAACACAGATCTTCTCCTTGCCTTTCATTGTGATACCGAAGTCTCTTACGGGTAATTATTAACAGAATTCCTTCTCTGTTGCCAATAAGAAGCTGTTTTGGTTGAAACAAGTTTGGTTGAAACAAGTCAAGTTAACACACTAGTTAACAGTAGTCGATAGATACATTCACTGAAACTCTCTCGGTTGATTGATTCTAGATACAAATACAAGTTTTTGAAGGCAACAACCGCAAATATACCGGGGAACGTTGTGAGAGAAAACAGGGGAAGTAAACTAACAATAGGAAGAGGAGGAATGCTGAAAGTTCAACACTTGGTTTCGGTTTCTAAAGCTTTAGCACCACAAGTCGAATCTGCAGGGTATCAACCGCCGAGTCGGATTGCTTATATAGAGTTCTTTGTGAAGCCTGAAGAATCTAGTGATTGATTAAATTTCTCCTTCTTCTTAGTCCCTTAATAGCACCAGAAACAGTTGTTGTTTTAGACTTGCAAAGTAAAAAAAGTACCGGACACTGCGTGTCGTCCAATTGAACTGCTTGTCGTTTCGGTATATTTTCTCAGATGTTATGTCGTGTGACGTTTTTAAGCCAATTCAATTGTCAGACATGCATGCCGTTTCGTTGCAGTTAACAATGACGTCGTGCCGGTTGATATGGGTAAAGTAATTAAAAAAATATCCGGTTTAATTTCGGGGTTTTGAACCCGACGTGAATCGAACACGCAACCTTCTGATCTGGAGTCAGACGCGCTACCATTGCGCCACGGATCCGGATGATTATTTCTCTACTTCTATTTATTTACCCTGTAGTTTGTAAATCAAGTTTTAAATTATAAATTTTTCATTGTATAATACTCGTGTTAATCCATATTCATTGTATAATTTGGTCTGCCATGTATGGTATGGGGGAATTATGAGTTTTTTTTGGCATGAGTTTATTATGTCGATTGGTTCAAATTAACAAAATTATGAGCAAAATATGAAAACGTTCTAAGATTGACACGTGATGCTAAACCCGACGTCCAAGTAGCTTTCTCATTATTTCAAAGGGTGGTAGTTGGACTTATTTTCTCATGATTATTAAAATCACACTCAAAAGAGAAAATAATTGATTCAAGGCAGCACCAAAAAGGGTCTCTTCCAATATATTTTTAGTAAATTATATGATTAGTGTTGGTGATAAAANAAAAAAAAAATGATTAGTGTTGTTCTTTTTCTTGTGAGAAAATAATTACGTTTGTTCAAGAGGAAGAGTTTGGCTAATATTTTTTTTTTGAAAAAAGGGCTTACAATTTGGCTAATGATTTTTTAGTAAAATTCCACTTTTGTAAAACGAATTAACAATAATGTTGACATGATATCATATATCACTCACACACCACCATTATTGATTAATACTGTAGTATATACTATATAGAATGCATTATAAGACAATAATCAATACGTAAAGACAAGAACACACAAATACATAATAGAGAGCGTAAAAAAAAAACTTTTGGAACACACACACATAATAGAGAGCGTAAAAAAAACTTTTGGAACACACACAAACTAATGGTTTTTCATGGGTTTTTCC